ACAGGTAGCTACAGGGTAACCGATAGGGCCTGTATGTGAGGAACCAGGATCAGGAATTGCGGTGGGGTTTTCTTATTTCTTTGGAGGGCAGCAGATGGAAATGGAAATAGAGATCATATCTTGAGGGAAGATCTTTTTTTAACTGCTGAGCTTGTCAGGCGCAGGGTGCTTTACACATTAAATGAGCAGCTGGATGGAGTTGCAAGCAAGACAGCCTTCCTGATTAGTGTGAGTGTGTCTCTAGTGCTGTATGGTTAGCGCTAACGTGAGGCTCCAGTGAATTAGCTTGCTTTCATCGGGCTTTGTCTCTCAGGTCTGTCTTGAAACCTGACTCTCTTCAGTCCCTTGCCACATGAGAGCTGTGTGTCTTTGCTTGTTGCCAGCACGTGGGCCTGTGTCATGTAACAATGCTTTCAGCTTTTCTGATCACCTAGTAGTTTTGAAAAAGAGTGGATCTGCTTGTTCCTGGCTACTGTTTGGAGGCTAGGATGGAAGGAGCAGGCAGAAGAGCACTGATAAATAATGTTTGGTATCTGGGCAAAATTATTTTGTCCTACAAAATCCCAGTTTTACCATCATAAGGCTTGCACTTAAAACTGTTAGTAAGAAAATGAATGAACGTGTCTGCCAGTACTCTTGAGACCCAGCTTCTGCATCTCAGCAGACAGCCATTGACATGTGAAATAAATGCGTATGTGAAGTTTAAGACAACTTCTGCAACAGTTTTGTGGGCCACAGTCAAATATCTTCCAAGCCACTAGTTAGTCTTCCATGGCAGAACTCTTCTACCCATCTCCTTTGATGGTTGCTTCTAGGTAATGAACAGAGATTGTAAAACTTGCTTCTTGTAGAACTCTGGAGAAACTGTGCATGCAGCAGATGTGCTCTTTTTATTTTGTTCTGCTTGGGAGTGTTTTGCAGAGGGTTCCCCAGATTCAGAAATATCACTTGATGTTCATAGTTTTGAATGTCCTGGAGGGAGGAGTTGTGCTGAGTGGGTATGTTACCCCAATCTGCTGTTCATAGGTGAGTCTAATAAAATTATTCTGGTTCCAAATCTTCCCTGAATTCACATGACACATTGGAATAAAGCAGGGAGGTGACTTGGGTAGGTGTGTAGGTTCTAAGACAGTGTGAGTTTCTGAGTGGCTGGACAGACTTAGGCCATGTTGCTTTAGTCTTCCTGTCCCATGTTTCTAAATTTTGCATTCTCTTCACAGCCTCCTAATACAATAAGGGTTTGGCCTGTTGTTTGTTCTCAATTCTGTCTGCATTACTATCCCAGTTCACCTCGTACTTACTCCTTTTGTCTAGTAGCCCTAGTCAATATAATAGCAATAATTTCTTCTTGTCTTTCACTGATAAACCTGTTTTCAGTACATCATCGTCCCAGTCCAGATACTCTCATGTTCCAACACCTCCTTTCAAACAAAATGAGTTTAATTTTCTGTGATTTTTATCCTTTATCTTCCAAAGTATGCAAATGGATGTTGACTCCAGTGTACAGGTACATAAGTTTAGGCTGAATACAGCAGCACAGTTGCAGGAACATCTCATTGATGCTCAGAGGGTAAAAGTCTGTGTTTTGAAATTTATGAACTTCTGAGTCATGAGAAACCAGAGCCACAATCTACAACCATCTGTGATCACAGAACCAGTTGCTTAGTTAAGTTTCAAAGGCGTGGGTTGTGTCAAAGAGATACGTGCAGTATGTAGAGTAGTTCACCTTGGTGATGGTTTTGAAATACATTCCAATTTCTGAATTTGTGGCTGTTGCATTAATTGGCAGTCAGGTTTCAGCTGATACATCCTTCTGAGTATGAGCAGTCTATCGACTGAGAAGAGACACCATTTGGATGTTGATGATAATTTGTTTGTAAACATTTGTAAGATTTCTGTTCATAAGCATGGTAAAAGCCTCATCAATCTTAAATAGTTTTGCTTCCATTGCAGAGGACGGTGCTGAGACATAAGCAGGTATCTGTTGATTTGGTTTCACTGCCTCAGTATGTTAAATGTTAGGTATTGAAGGTACTCTGTTAGGTATTCCAGACAGCAAGTAATGAGTGCAGTGGTTTGTCAGTGGAAGAAAAGTTGTGTCTGTGTCTTCTGAAGTATTGATACACCTGTTTACATGAAATAAGTTGTCTTGTTGAATCGGTGGCAGCATTGAAATGAGATGTGCTTATGCAGAGCATAGTTTGAATGTGAAGCACATGGGCTGTACTGGCTAAACTGAATATCTGTTAGTGAAACTGCAGGTTTAGAGGATAAAAGGAACACTGCACACTTAGTGCATGTAGATGCAAGTAAATTTTTATTGTTGTCTCCTGCTGAGCAGATGAAGGCTGTATTCTGGCCTGGGATACTGATGTTAGTGGGCTGGGTCAGGAGGCTGTTCATGATACAGTTGTGTGTACCTGTGGCTTGCATCCAGTGCAGGTCAGTTCTGGCTCCGTTACAGCATGACCTGTGTGAGGTGTGCTATGTTCTCACTGGAGAACCCCCACTTTATTGTTTGACAGCTTGCTTTTGAATCAAATTCAGTCCTTATCCTAGTTCTTGTCTTTCCTGCAGTGACTCTAGAGGAACAAGGATGAAGGGTGTTGGCATGTTACTGTGAGAAAGTGCTGTCCCAGGGGGGATGTGGGGGCATCTTCTTTTGAAGGGCCAGTGATTAAAAACAGAGGAAAACTCACATTGCAAAATTTAAATGCTTTGAAAGCTTCAGCAGCCTTCTCCAAGCTACTTGTTTAGATACCAGATATCAGACTTGTAGATGTATTTAAGTATTCCTATGCCTTAATTCCTTGTTTGTGAAACAGGGAAGTATGTGTAATCCTATGTCAGAGGCTGCAGGATTAATACATACGTTTGAGTGCTGAGAGGTGTGGATACCTTCTTCAATGCTATTGAATACTAGAACTATCTAAAACAGTAATATATACATTTAGATTACAGGGGGAAGGGGGGAATCAAACATTAAAATTGATTACTTTCCATTTTAATAAAAGGTGAAGCAAGTTATGGTAGTTCTGTGGCTCCTAGTTTCTTACTAGTTATTTTGATGTGTGTGCAGTGCATAGAAAATATAGAGTAATAATAAGACTACAGAGAACTTTTTTTCCCCTCTTGCAATGTCAAGATGTTGAGGAAAGCAAATGCTGCTTCTGAATTTCTGTATAGCTGTATAGCTCAGAAGGAAGAAAACATTCCATAAAAATCTTTTTAAACTAGGTGGATTTATAGGTAGGAACATGAGAGGTTTTAAAAATCTTTTATTTATTCAGTTAAATCACTAAAGGAAGTAAATTTAGACAAGAGAGTAAAGGAAGAAACTCAGCCCTACTGTAGTAGATACTTTAGTGCCCTTACCAGATACCTTACCTGTCCATACTCTGTGTTGCACTTGAATTTTCTCTCTGAACCACCTAGTTGAAATAAACCAAGGAAGGGCATTGGTTCTTTAACGGTATCTCATGTTTTAGTGCCTGTAACTTGCCTTGTTGGAACCCCTGGTCTTGAGTGTACCTCTTATCTCCTCCAGGCTGCGAGCTAAGAGTTTCAGATGCCTAAATAAATATGCAGCTAGAACTGAAACCCTTTGGTCTGCTAAGACTACCCAGTAAGAAAAATAAGCCAGTGGTTCATGAGCAGACTTCATGCAAAGAGGAAGCTCTACTGGAGCTGGTTTACATTAGGAAAGCTGGAGGACTGATGTGAAATAGCATGACAGGGGGGTCTGTCTTATTCTGCTTTTATCAGCCACTATGCAGGATAAGCATTGGTAGAAGATGTTACACTTACTTGCATGTTGCTTTCTGAATTTGTTCTGTTGAGGGGAAGAGAATAATCCACAAAGTGCAGGGCAAAAATAAAGCCTTTTTTCCACAGTGCTGTTGTCAGTGTGAATGGTTGTCCTGCAAGTGCTGTCAGGACAAGATGACCTTGAAAGAAAATAGGTGCCTATGACTAAAGACTAAATTTTAGGCTTGCGATGCATTTTGTGGTCTCAAATTCCTGTTTGGTTGCCTAGATATCTTAAGAGTTGGGAAAAGGGCATCATTTGTTCATGTGTGTATACATAAAGGACAATTTTTAATCACCCAGTGAATGTCAGGTCCCCTAGGACTAGCAAAGATAAAACAAGCACAAGAATTCCACTTGCTGGGGAGAAAAGGTGATTGAATTGAGGATTGAATGAGGGATTCAGTCATCAAGGAGTCCTTTCAAGAATATTCCAGAGGTAAACCTCAGTCTTGCTGCATCGTAAGGAGCCAGATCAGACGACTCCTTGTTTCTTCTGACCCCAGGAATTCTCTTGGTGGCACTCCCAGGAGGCAGAATGAATCCCAGATTAAGACAGTCTCCTGGAAGTTAAGTGAACAGAAATACTTTCTAATCTCTGATCTTTATTAGTGCCTAGAAGCTGCATCTCCCAGTTTGTTTGAAAGAAGTGCACCGTCATATCTGAGGTTTTCAGTATGTGATTTATTTCATGAGGGCCTCTTACAGGCCTTTGAAGTAGCTGCAGGAGAGGGATTTGATTGGTTTCACATGTTTGTGCCAAATCCCATGGTGAGTAGAAGAAGTTGAGGTTATGAGATGTTGCGGTATACGTATTGTGGAACACAAGACATAATTGTCTGAACAGCTTCTTTTGCCTGTGGCTTTACAACTTGGGGTTGAATTTCTCTCTGTTACCTGGCAGGTTCTGCTGACCTTCTCTTTTTCACAGGCACATGCACCACCCCCTGTAATCTTCAGTAATCTTTTTTCCTGGAGGAGCAGTGCTGTGTTGCACCTCTGAATGACTGTGAGACTTTTACCTCCTTGCCAAGTTTGTTTAAAATTCATCTATGGGTTAGCAAGCACAGACAAATAAACTCTGCCTCGTTACCTAGTCTTACTTCTTTAGGAAGTTGAACTTTCTTGTTTTTCTTTAATAAACAAACAAACAAACAAAAAAAAAAACAAACCACCCCCCCCAAAAAAAAAGAGAAGGTTGAAAAATCAAGCTCTAAGAAATTTGGAAATGCTTGGATTTAAGTTGCCCAGATGTTTGCCAGGATTTGTATCCAATTCAGGACCCTTTTTTGCTGTTGGACACAGTGGGAGGAAGTGCATGCAGCTTGATATGCTTCAGTTCCTTGTCTGTGTGACAGCAAGCTACATTCAGTCCTCTCTCAGAGGTTTCGGGATTAGTGTTTCAAGTATTGTGGGATGTGGATATCTTCTGTGAATACACAGATGTGCAGGGATAGTGGCTTTTCCGTGTGGATGAGCTAGGTCAGCATGGAGCCCAAGGTATTTGTCTAGTTCCCAGAATATATGTACTTGATCCTATGTCGTTTATGAGGATGGCTAGCTGAGTACCCAGCCTTGTCTGTACTCTGTTGTTGACATGTTTTGTGCCTATTTTCACTCACAGTAAGCAAGAACACAGATTTTCACAGCAGTTGTTCAGTTGAGCTTGCTCTTTTTCTGTTGTCAGCAAGTTGTAAGAATTTTCTTAATGTTGACTGAATAACCTGAATTCCTGGGCGTGTTCTAAGGGAAAGAATTTTTTTTTTAATCCAGAAACAGGTCTTCTGCGTAGAAAATACCACCTCCGGTAGATCTTGAGCAGATCTAAGCACTTGAGAACAAGATCTAGTTAGAAGAAAGCAATGGCAGAGTTGCTTGTCAATGTGGCTGCCCAGTCTCTCATCTGACTGTTGTGGTATTGTGCCGTGAGTTCCCTGCAGAGACTGGAACCCTGCTATAGTGGAGTTGGGAAGCACATTGAACAAACAACTTTGCTTTCTCCAAAGGTTGTCAGGTCAGAAAAAGCAGTGCTAGCTAGCGTGAGTGGACTTCAGAAATATCTCTCTTTCCGATATCAGACATGTCATTTACGCAGTGGTGGGAACGGGATGAGGTTTTCTAAAATGTCATTTGGTAGGGGAAAAAAAAAATCCCTAGGTGCTTCTGTATAGAAGTCTATTCTTTAACTGAAATTTGTAGTTTACTATCTTTTTAAGAGCCCTCTAGTACATAAGGAACACTTCTTCAAACCTTGGCAAGGCCTTCAACCAAGCTTAGAACTTCAGATTGTATTTAGGACCAGCTGATTCACTGGTAGAAAAACACTGGAATTTTGCACATAAACCAATTGAGAACCAAGCCCACAGCTGAGTGTCAGTGTATTAGTACACTAACTGATGTTGTGGCTGGACAAACATTTTCTCAGAGGACAGTGCTGGTTTCAGCATCTCCATTCCATATTGTCTTTTCAGTTTTGTTGACACAGTTGTTCCTGCACGTGTATGGATATCTGAACTTAAAATGCCTTGGTAAGATGGGGGAAAAAGAGGTGGTTTTTTAGCTTGAATTTGCTCTTCAGTATGGTTTACTGCATAAATCTACCAGTAGTTCAACTAGTCTAACAGAGGCAGGACCGAATAAAACCAGGCACCTGATTCACTTCAGCCTGCAACACCACCAGGCAACTCTGGCCAGGCAGTCTGGCATGGGGTGTCAGTGGGCTGGCCAGTCCCTGTTAAGGTTGTAGCTCTTGAGGCAGGGGTTTCCTTTGGATGTGCTTATTTAGAGCAGTCCGGAACATGTGTAAATTGTGGAAACATTGAAGCAGAAAAGAGCAGTTCAGCTTCACCTGCCATTTCGGCTTACACTGACATCTGAGTTTCCTCCACTTGATTCCTTGGAAAGGGGGAAGGCATGGTCATGGTTTTAAATTTGTTACATATTGTAGCAAAACCAGTAGAGTACTTGGGCAACTGTGCCTGTGCAGACTTCTCACGTTTTTGAATAAATGGTCTGCTACTGAGCCTCTTCAGACCATTTGCAATGTGTAGTTTTTGTTTTAAAAGGTATTTGCCTTGCAGCTCAGGAGCTGTGTCTGTAGCTGTTACCTGCTCAGGGCATGGGGCTCTACTGGGTTTCATGGGGATTTTGCTCCAGGGAGCATGCAGAAGCCAGGCTCTTGGCCACTCCGCATTTTTCTTGTCCAGCCTGAAGCTGTGATCTGCAGTTTGCTGTCGGACAACTACCAGTGGGCAATGCAATGGTGTGAATTGCTGAAGTCCTCCTATATGCGTGTGGAGAGAGGTGTGCCAGCTGTCTGAATTGCACTTGTATGCTTCATGCTGCCCACGCGAATGGTCACCTTGTAGAAACGAATTATAAGCAAAGCTAGAAAGCAAAACAACTTACTTGAGAATACAGGCGAGAAACCGGGATGCAGAGCGCTAATCAGACTCAAGGAGACTTGCATTTGGGGAAGAGGGGAGGCTTTTGCCATCACATTCTGTGTGTGCTGGAATATGCTATCATGCAGGCACCAGCCAGCTTTCCTTAAGGCTCGCCTGGATGTAGGGCAGGAGCCTAACTTGTCCCTTACTCCTCAAAGTGGGGCTGCAAACGTGTGAATAACTTGGTCAGGAATGCTCTCCAGCCGAATAAAATAAAACACTGTTCATGTGTACTGTGAAAGAGGTCAAAGGGAGGTAACCTAAAATATTGTAGTGAAGCAGCAGCACTGTTCAAGTGCTTCAGTTTTAGTAGGATAGCAGTAGGAATAAGCAGAATAAGCACTAGTCACATGCTCAGTGTCTTGTGCAATTCCCTCAGAGTACCATTAGTCAAATCATAATACTGTGCCAGCTTCAGGGAGAACTTTTGAACTTGACCAGTGTGGATGAAAGAAGGAATCTTAAAACTAAGACATGGAAACCATTCACAGAGGGTTTTAAAACCCAATTTACAGGTTTTTTTTTTTCACACAGACATGATCTTACTAATGTTCTAAGCCTGACATATAAGAATGTGTATGCCTCTCTAGCTGAATATTAAGACAATGACTGCTTTCATATTCCTTGTAGCAGTGAATTCCTAGAAATGTAGGTGATTCCTAAGATTTGCCGAAGAACTGTCTTGCTGTAGTTAGTTTGGACAAGACAGAACTACTGATCTAGTTGAGCAGGATTTTTGCTATTGCTGAAACCTTTTTGACAGCCATCCTGTGTCTTCAATTACTTATGTGTGATCTGAAGGAAAAAGGCACTTTCACACAATCTAATACAGTAAAAAAAAGCCAAACAGTTCTGAGTTCCTGTCAAATCCACCCTTGTTTATCAAAATATTCTCAATGTTTGTGAGAACACAACTATGCTTTGAACTTAGAGGCAACTTAAGAACCAGATTGAAACAGGCTAGTTTTACCCTTTTGATGGGGGGGTCGTTGTGTTTTTCTGTGTTTGTGGTTTGTTGGGGTTTCTCTTAACAGCAGCAGAGTTGAGAAGGTGGCGTTTGTGCATCTTCGGTTTGCCACTTTTATTACTTCAACTATTATTAGAGATTGTAGAAGCACCTCTGCTTCCCCCCAGCTCCCCTGCCCCTGTACAGTTCATAAATATTCTGGGCTATGCCATTCATTTTTAATGCTCTTCTATTCCTTTTACTTCTTTCAGTTCTTGTGTGGTTGGTGAAAATAAACCTACGCTGCAGGGATGCAAGAGGAGCAACAGCCTGAGGTAGGGCTTGGAGCTGAAGATTTTTTTTTTTGTCTTGGTAGAACTGGAGGGAAGGTCAAGACTCTGAATCAGTCAGGTTCTTCCACTCATCCTCAGGGAAGGTCTTCAAAGTCAGAGGGTTGAGACTAACAGTGTGAGACCCCTTTTAAAACAGGGAGGTGAGGGCTGAGTGCTATTTTTTGGCCACATTTAGGTTGTTCTTTTCAGGGTCCTTTTTCCTCCAATTGCAAAAGCTTAAAAAGGGTCTTTGTTGTTAATTTACTTGCAAGTGAGGAATTGCGAAAAATAGCCTAACCAATGAGTTTGAACCTTTAGAAAGAAAAAAACGTTTTGTGAGTAAATCACACAAATTGATTGTATACAAACAATCTCACTGTACATAGGTTAACTGCCTTTCCAGGTTAAATGGAAGTGGTTTTTTTCCTACCCTTTCTGTTCATTTTCTTCTCCTTTCATATCCATGTATCTCAAAAATCTTTCTGGTGTAATAGGTTTTCCTGTGTAATAAGTGTAATAAGGTTTCCTGTGAAGCTCAGGAAACTTTTTCCTCTTAGGAGATATAAGAATGTTGGTTCCTGTGCCCTGTAAGTTAATTAAAAACAAAACAAAAAAGACTGACTCTTGATGTGGTGCTCAGTGCTTTTCTCACTGCAATGTTGTAATGTTGTTATGATGACAAAGCCAGCATAAGTGACAGGATTAATTCCATATGTTAGGTGGATACATTTTTCCAAAATATTTTTGTAACTAGAGTTACGCATGCAAGCAGTAGAGTTAAGCCATATGTTGTGATCAGCAACTGAGCTGGTGTTAAATTAGATTTGTGAATGTAATTGCAATTTGCGGTGTAATTGCAGTTTGCAGTTGTCAATGAGCAGACTTTTGCTTTGTAGGGAAAGGATGATACGTTGCTGTGAATGTGGTAAACTTTGCACTGTAAAGCAGTGGTACTTTTTTGGTCTTACTCCATGAAAAGTATGATAAATTTTGCTTTGCCTTTAGTGGGGCCAAGGTAAGACACCCAGGATTTATTATCTGAAAATTACTGTTTGGCATAATGGAATGCAAGAAGAAATTAATTACTTTTGTTGAAAGCTCTTAACATTTGGATGTGCTTTGTACAGCCCTGTTTTAAATCTGTTTCAGTATAAAGTAAATAAATCATTTTAACTAAAAAGCTGACATCCATTAGGAGAGCTTGGCTGCCTGCTTGCGAGGTACTTGAATGATGATGGATTCACATCCTATCTCTAACTTTTTGACTTAATGTTTTTCAAGAATTCTACTTTCTACCAATAATCATCCTGATTCAACTTTGCAATTTAATGTAGATGCCTAAAGATAGTTTACAGTTGATCTTTTCCTGATTCTTAAGTCTCTTTTCTGCACTAACTTGGCTTCTCCAGCTTGGATGACATAGATTGCATGACTGGGATTGTTTGAATTTTATGCACGGGTTTTAAAACTTGCCTGTTAGTTAAAAATAAGAAAGGTTTTGTTAGCCAAAGACCTGCCTCATGTAATTCTCGTGATAATATTTAAAAGTCAGTCTTTGGGAATCTTTTCAATTACCTTCTGATCCTTTAGAGAACAAAACCATGCAGATGCGTTGCATCCTTTTCACTTTGATTTCTGATGTATATGAAGTCAACGTAAACATAAACTTTATAAGACTGGGTGTGCATGTTGTGTAATTACCTTACACTTATTCCAACAGAACAAAATATTTGAGCAGACTATTCTAAAATGGATGTGTGTATTCCTGTGAGTGCTGATTAACTTTGTCAGACTCCTGACAGACTAATGGTGACTGGTAGTTGAGTCAAATATGCCATCTTAAAAATGGCAGTGGTATTATAATAATAAATGCACATTTTAGCTTCCAACACAGAAAATGCTGTGATGTTAGAGATACATTTGTTTTTTTCATTCTAGAATCAGATATTTTGTTATATATATATAACGCCATATCAGGTATAAATTCTACCTTTTAAAATAGGCATGAAATAGTTTTTAATATGTTCTTTCTCATATAGCTAGGAGAAAAACTTGTAAAACCACAGACATTTTGAACTGTTGACACTGCTTAAATTATTTACTTGCTTGAATATTGTATGTAGGTTCAAATTGAGCAAACTCACAAGGGGAAAGATGTAGTAAAACACTTCATTATAATTCCCAGCCTCCTTTTGAATTTGTTTTATACAGGCTGCTGCAGATCCAATGTCCTCCTCTGATGCACCAGAAGATGGCCCAAAGGAAACGTCAAGTGTATCGCAGAATATCTGTATGTTTCTGGTTTGACTGGGGAGGGTGTATCATGTTGGAAGTATACTAAGCTAAACATCCATGCCTTTTCCTTACGTAATAAGGATGTGGTTCTTGGCACAAAAGGGAGATGTGAATGAGGTCCTATCTGACTTAATCCATGCATGATTTGTAGAAAGGCCCAGTTGCATAAACCAACTTTGTAAAGAGCAGTGACATCAATTGTCAATTTGAAGCTCCCATGCTTTCAAGAGAAAATAAATGGTTTTTGATTTGATACACTCAGCTATTGTTTTAAGCTTGGTTGTGGCTCTCTAAGCCAGAGATGCGTAAGTACGTGTTTGCTTCAGTGTTCTGCAATCTAGTGTTATAATGTTGAATCAGCTGTCTCAAGTGGAATACTTTGTCCATGCTAGCATGATAATGTTTTGATATGAAGGCCAAGTGTGCAGGGTGTGGGAATAGAAGTGTTCCAGCCAACACTCTCTTGTGAAGCCTGGGAAGAGTGTCAGTCCTTACCTTTTAGTGGTAAGAATCAGATAATGACAGACATTTCTTTCTCAGGAGGAGAAAACAAAGGCTTCTTAGTATTTGCTTTGTGTTTATTGATATAACATTGTGACCCTAATGTATATGATGCTCATTTTGAACAATAGGAACATTCAGATTGTGATTTCTGGCAAATAATAGGCTCTGAACCACCTTAGGGCAAATTAGTGGGTAACAGCAACATTATTATAATGCTGAAGTTGCTGAATAATCCCTAGGGATCGAAGCTTTCAGAAATAACAATCATGAGAGCACACAAAGCCTTGACTAAAGCTATGGGAAAAGCATTCAGGCCTAAAGAAGCAGATTAATTTTTTATGGTGCTTTTTTCTCTAGATACAGTAGTTGATTTAATAAAAACGATATCTGCTCCTGAGAATATTTTCCTTGATTATGTCCTTAAATGATAACATCTGGTACTGCACTATTCTAGCAGTTTTTGTTCACATGAAACATTATTCAGTCCAGTTCTGAATATATGTATGAGATGAAGGCTTGAAAAAATTAATATAAATTAAATCTTGTAAGGGTTACTGAATATGTAGAAATCACTTTTAACTGGTGGAATCTGAGCTATAGATGGCTTTAGGCTAGGATAGTATTTGGGGATGCACGCTTCCTCATTTCTTATATTCTTCCTTAGATACCACTTTTGGCCGTTATGGGAGGCAGGATGTTTGCTTAGGTAGATTTTGGTTGGTCTGCCATGGCTGCTTTTATGACTGTGACTGGGAGTGCTACAAATGCAACAGCACTGCCTCTCCTTCCTTTTACATCAATGTTTTCCCCACTCCCTCCCTAGCATCACTGTCTGTTTTGGCAGCAACAAGGTCTTAGATCAGACCATACTGATTGCAACACACCACATTCTTGGATATTGACTGTAGTAGGCTGCTAAAATGTGAAGGAGGATGTTGGAGGGTGGCTTTTGATTTGGGTTTTTTGTCATACAATCTTGTGAGATAAGTATTTTTGGGACAGATCTGGGGCTATAGCTACACAGTAAAACCAGATTCATGAAACAAATTAATGTATGTTAGGAGGCTGTAATTTATCTGCACCTTTGACATCCTGCCTACAAACTGTTCACTAACTTTTTTTTTTTCCTGGGATTATGATCCTGTTCCAGGCTTCTGGACCACTTGAGACCTCTGCTAACTTGTGCAGCAGCTTGCCAGAGAAAGAGAGTTGGTTGGAAACAAAACTCTACTTTCTTACTTGATGCTTTTTTTATTTTTCCCTAAGATGCATTACAGCTTAAAGATGACTCATTCAAAGTTACTATATTTCCCATTGATGTAAAACTGAAGCTTCTCTATCTCAGTTAATGAGGCTTTCTGGCATTTAACAAGCAACTGTGATGGAACTGATCTTACTATTTTCCATGTCAAACTTGACATAGATGAACTAAACTCACATTGTACCATTTTGATCTTAGATAGTTTGTTGTTGAAATTAGGGAAGAATGATGGGTGTCCTGACCTTAAGGTTTAATTTTCAGTTGTATACTGATCCCTGGTGTGTTAATCTCAGAAAAGGCTAAAATTGGTACTGTAGATATCCTATATGTGCCAGTATGTGCAGGTGACTTTACCAGCACATCACACCAGCATACATGTGTTGCTATCATTTATACAGATAAAATCTCAAAAGGGAACACCTTTGTTCTAGAATTTTTAAAAATGCTTTTTTTTTTTTTTTCCAATTTAGTGTATACCTTTTCTAAGTATTCTTTGCTTCTCTATCCACCTCACCTGCCACACAGCTTCTCTCTTTCCCTTACTGAACTGCGTGGACAACCTGTCCCAGTGTCCACAGGGTAGGAAACCTGGACTGAGACTCATGCTTGGAGGCATCCTCTCCACTGGTGGCACTCTCAATGATGTAGCCTCAGAATTGAATGTAAGATTACAGTGGTAAATCAATGGCCTTTTAGCTCTGCTCTGCTGTTTAGTGGTGAACATTTTTATTTTCTATTTTATTTACCTGCACTTTATAGTCATGTGTGCGCTTTTTTTCTGTTTTTATTTACATTTATAGCTGATGCAGATGCATTTAAAATTCTTCTGGAGATGAAGATGAAGAAGAGGCAGAAAAAGCCTACCTTACCAAGCACTGTGACTGAACTTGACACTGAGGATGGTTCTAAAGTATATGTGGTTGGAACAGCCCACTTCAGTGACAGCAGTAAAAAGGATGTAGTGAAGGTAAATACTGAGTGGGAGCCTGTTTTGCTGATTAAGGATGCCAATTAAACTCGGACACCAGAGTGAAAAGAGGAGGTGTATTTTACTGGGGATAACCAATGTAACAGCGTAATACAGAAACATGCAGTAAGAAAAAGCAAAATAGTGCACTTAAAGCAACAAACAGGGAAATACAGGGTAATGCATCAAATCATTACTACACAAGAGAGAGAATAGTGATTAAGAAACATACATCACCACTTGTACACATTCCCAGCCATCATCCAGCCCCGCAGTGGCTGGACAGCCCCGGTTACAGCAAGGGTTTGGAGAGCCTGTCCCGGCAAGGGGGAAATCCTACACGGTGCGTCCCCCATAGGTGAGGCTGCCAAAGTCGCTGTGAGCGGGTCCAGCCTTATATACCAGAGATCGACAGGCCAGAATAGCTGGCACCTTTGTTTTGAGTGGAGAATTTCTGGTTTCATTCTCCTGTCGGATCCCACCCAAAGCCTGGCCAGGGCTTGAGGGGGAGAACCAAGGGAGTTTCTAACAAGGCCAAATACTTGGGTTCTCAGCCTTGAAGAAGGCTAAACCAGGGAAGTTGGATACATTCTCTCCTCACTACTGATTATATTCTGCCTAAGCTGCATCTTTCACTAGTGAGCTTACATTATTTGTTAATGATTACAGACTAAGTTAGCAGCTTCAGCTTGGGGCCTGTTGTTCAGGCTTCAGTATTTTCAACACTTTTTACATCAGCATAAGTGGGTTGTTATAACTTAGTACAATACCTACTAGCACAATGTTTTTCAGCTATAAAATATACAGGATTCATCTGTAGGTCAACTCTGGCTTGGGCTGGTTGTCCAAGCCTTAGCACTTCAGAGCCCTTCAGCAGCATGTTTATAATGTTGTCAGCTTAGCGTTAGGTACAGTGAAGTTCAGCTCTCTTACATGATTCTGTGCTGTAATCTTCAGACACTTGTTTTTTCTTGTTAGCTGTTGGAGGGCTAAGAGTGCTGTGGGTTGAACCAAGAGGCACACATCTTATCTTAATAGTTTTTTTGATGCAATACATTGCTGTCCCACCTCAAATATTTTTACTTGTCCTTAAACAACAAATGCAGATACAGTGGTGTCAGTGTTAAAAGTAGAAGTCTCACTAGTGAAGCTTACGTTGCCTGTCATGATACAGCATCGCATCAACAATGCATGCTGTGGTTGCATACTCACAGTGATATGAGTATGATGCTGAGAATATGCAAAGCCTAGAACAGAAACTACAGTTTACAGCTTCTCTGTGCCTGGGATGTATAATACTGAGCTGTAAAACCATGCCAGCCCAAACTTGTATTCTATTCTCCAGATGCAAATAGATCCAAAGCTTTAGTGAAAGTAGGAACTATTTCATACTGTACCTCGTGAAGTTCCAAGTGGCTTTATTTTCCAGGACGTAGCAGGTGGAAATCTTGTGCCAGAATCATCAACTCTGGTTCTTAAAAAGCTTATTCTGACTCAGATTGCAAATGATCACAGAGCATGGTTAAAGGAACTTTGTGAATGTGGAAAGTTTAACGTTTTTTTTCTTCTCCCCCTCCCCAGCACAATGTATTCTTCATCTTCCTGTCCCAAAGCATCCTGTAACTAAAGCATTTCGCTGTCATCTTCCTTAATGTTTTTCTCAATACATAGCTATTTGGAGAAGTCTTATTTACCCTTTCACTGTTCTTTTAATTGAAAATGATTGCTGCAATGTGCTTTTATTAAGTCCCTTTTCTTATGAAAGTATAGATATTGGCTGCGTTTCTGTTTAATCCTTCCTAAACTGCTGCAAATAACTTTATCTTTTTCAGACAATACAAGAAGTGCAGCCTGATGTAGTTGTGGTGGAACTATGTCAGTACAGAGTTTCTATGTTAAAGATGGATGAAAAGACATTACTTAAAGAAGCCAAAGAAATAAATCTGGAAAAACTTCAACAAGCTATAAAGCAGGTATGATTCCCACAGTGAGAATGAAAGGTTTGTGTTAAGAGCAATTTGTCAAGTTGCAACCAAAATCAGTGTTCCCACCAGCTGGTAACCTAATACTAGGTGCGAGTGCCATTACACTGGCAAAGTTAGGTTTGGTTTTACTTTTTTCAGCTGGAGTACTGAGGGTTTCTGTTCCACAGCAGGATTGTTTGGGTAGTTGTTGACCTCAGCAGAAATTCTCCTGGGTTTAACAGTTCCCCCATTTGCAGGACAGAAGTCTAACTTTGTAGTATATTTTAAAATTATTTTTATTCCTGCAATCTGCATCTCTATCACAGTTATTTAGGGAGCACTTAATTTTGGTGTTGTCTGTCTGTTTAGTCGCATTCCTTCTTCATGCTACTGTGTTGCTCTTTTTAATTCTCATCCACTTGTCTTTTGAGTAGTTTCTAATTGGCAGTAGTCCTTGAGGGAGGTTTTTGAAAAATTTGGGCTGAAAAGTGTAGGATTCTGTTCAAATTATAACTACTCCAGCAATTTGACACTGTGTGGGATGTGTGCAAAAAACAAGTGTTGTCCTGTATTTTTTCAGTTTCAGTCAGTTAGCTTGTATTTAAGTAAGTTTTTATCTAGGCACAGTGAAATAGCACAAAGCTGACTTAAAAATGATAGGTTATTTGATTAGAATGGCAGTATGAGGTCAGTAAGAAAAAGAGCTTCCAGTGTCCAGTTGAATGAACAAATTCATAGATTGTTATTTTAGTTGTGTGGTGATTATATATTGGAAATGTTTTATTGATATAACTGGGGAATTTCAAGGATTGCACCCCTCAAGAATATAATCTGCATTCATGCAGAAGCATTTGCAGTGGCTAGGGGCTCGTCTACTTGTGTGTGTATGTGCATGCATATTCAGTCAGAAAGTGGGCAGTAAGACACTGAGTTAGGCAATAATGTGTCTTTCCTGTTTTCTTTATTTATGTCCTATCAAAGGAAGCAACATTGCAACACGCTTGCATATTGCATGAATTACTACATCCATCTGTTTATTTTAGGTAAGGTGGATTGTTCTGATGCATATAGTTAAAAGAATGCATGTTAACAACAACCAGAGCAGCAAAGCTGGGAGTCTTTTGACTTCATCAACAGGCACAGATGCCTTTTTTTTAATATCAAATCTAAATGCAACAGGTTTTGCTGTCCTTCTCTGTTAAGAGGAAAAGGACAATGAAAAGGACTTTTTGGTTTTTTTTCTCTGTGATGTAAATTTGTGTTGGCAGCCTCATAATTAGCACTTCTTACCAGGGCTTGAAGTGATCATGTATGCAGACAGTAGGAAACAGACTTGCCTCCAAAGCCAGAGAATAATACAAAGATTCTTCCTATTGTTACAGCTCAATCTTAGTCTCCTTTGTCACCAGGGATAATGCAAATACTAAAATTTGGACGCTGTGCCTTTTTAAATAATATATTTGTCTATAGTCTCAACCAAAAAAAAAAACAACCAACCTTTCCGCTGATTCTGTAGCACCGAGAGTTATATAGGGAAAAGCAGTCCAGCTATCTCATGCTAAATTAGTGTCTTTGTTTTTTTTTCTCTCATAAAAATCAAACCTGATGGTAAGTTGCTCTGTCATACTTCAGTTGTCCTCTCTCACTGAATATGCATTCAGGCCCAAAAATTATACCAAAAGTCAAAACTGCTTGTAGCTTTCATCATTGGATATCAAATTAGGAAATGAAAACTGTGTCCTTTTATAATCGCCTGTATAAATATTAAGCAGTAAAAAAATTACATTTCATTGCTTGTAACTGAAGTTGGAAACTGAGCAGTGTTAATATGAAACTATTACACTCTTGCAGTGGGTCACCAGTATTCACAGTTTATCAAGCAACTGTTGCAGGTTAAAAACAGGCTTTCTCCAGCCCCTCCTTGAATTTCAAAACTCTTACAGTTGATTGCAGAGAACTACCTGTTTGGTTTCCATTAAGTAAAGCAACACAGTGCAGACTGGTATGTGGCCCTAGTGTGGAATACCTGAAGATGTACAGTAACAGTTGGTTTAAACCAAACTGGTAAAACAGGTTTTGTCTTACCTTTTCCCTTGGCTTCCTGTTTCTGCTGTCCCTTCTGTGTCCATGCTATGGCCCCATGTTAGTTTGAACAGGGCCTGCTTTTTACCTGCGTCATGTCCCTATGTGACTGTATGATTGCTGGTGCTGACACAGAGGAGGAGCTGAGAAACCTTGTTCTGGGGCAGAAGAGAAAGTGGGCTGGTGGCAGAAAAATCTTAGCTCAACCTCACTTTTTTTAACCTACTCCTTTAGGCTGAAGTTACCTGTGCAGGAGTATTGTAATGCTGGGGTTTTTTAATGTTTCTGACCAGTGAAAAAACTCTGGTTTTGCGCTATGTAATACAGCCCTCCATGTTTAGGTAACCTACAGAAATGTCCTGTTAAATAAAATGGATGTAATGTGAATTGGTAGGTGACAGGTGCATCCATATGGACAGGAGCAGGCTACTGTCAATTGCTGCCTTCACTCGTGCTTTAAAGTCTAACCTCAGTGTGCTTGCTGCAGTAGCACCACAGCCAGGTGGCAAGACTGTGTTTGCACAGAGCTGCATCCATGGGAATTAGGGTTTTTAAAAGAAATCCAGAGAACTGAAATACAGTTTGTTTCTGCCCGCAGTCCTGCTAGTTAGTGCTGGATCTGTGACTTGTTATTACAGTTAAAGACTAGCCTCAAGGCCCGCTCCTTAGGTTGTGTTCCCATCCATATGTAGTATAAGCGTTTCTGTGCTGAATCTAGTGGAAGATCTAGCTGCTTTGGAAGCCCTCTGGCAGCTACCAATAACAGATGCCTGGGGAAAGGCATTAGAACCTGCAGCCTGGGTATTCCTCTCTCTTACTGTCCTTTTCACTGTCTTCATGCTAGACATGGTGTCTGATAGAGTGTATTTTCCTCAGTCATCCTTTCCTAAGCCTCATGAGTATTTAATATGTTTAATCTCATATGTTTGGTATTTCTTTACATATTTTCTAGTTCAAGTATCTTGTTTTAAAGACAGGAGTCTGCTAAAGATTGTACAGCAGTGCATTGATGTTTGTTTTCTTCCTTTCCTGGTAATCCCTCTTATTCTTCTTGCTTTCTGACTGCTATTGAACATAGGGCTGATAAAATTGGTATTTTGCTTTCTCTCTCCTGTGTGTTAATAGCTCTGCATCCCTCTGCCTGTGCAGTTAAGTTTCTACTTGTGCATTGCTTTGTTCATGGCTGTTGCATCTAACCAGTGAAATTATTATTGCCAGCCACTCAGGATTTAATGTTTGTGGTCAGCTTTCCTTTATCTGACATTGAATTGTCTGGTATTGATAATAACCTCTTTTACTGTTTTGCTCCCATCATTCTTCCTACATTTTGCTCTTTATCCCTAACAGTATCTGGCTGGACAGTTGTTGCTGGTTGCTGCTACATACGGCTGCTTGTCACCTTTTATCTCTTTGATGCTGAGTAAATATGGCAGGCACTGAGTTTCATGCAGGTTAAGAGCACAGATGACTCGGACACACTTCAAAGATGCATTCCTCTGTTAGCCAGCAGAATGAATCTTTCTGTCATAGTGTAAAAATGCAACTTCAATCCTGAAGGGAGATTATCCTAGTGTTCTTTATTTGCGGGCATGTTTTCTGAACTTCTGAACTTCAAAAGTCCCCCAGGCTTTTGAACTAGATCTCAAGGATGCTCAAAACCCTTTTTCTCACTGCTCTTTCTTCCTTCTCTCTCACCAGGAGACCAGCACCCTGTCTTTCTGCCATGCTTGCTAGTTTGTACCATGATACAGATAATCAATTGGCTTTGAAAAGAGCCCCTTCCTCTTGCCAGTTCTGGTCCTCAGTGTCTTAACTGCAGAAACTGCCTACAGCCTTTGGAGAGGTCACACGAGCATCAGATCTGGCACAGGGTGGGTCATTTGAGCATGGCCTTGGGAGCAAGGAATGGAGACCAGGACCTTCCTCTGGTAACTTCAAGCAGTTATATTAAAAGCTGTCCCATGTAACTATATCTTCAGTTGTGTGAAGCTGGTGATATAGCAGGAAATTAGCCTTTAGTGAGGGAAGGGGGAATGTCCCTTTTGGTAGCATTATGGACTGATGCCAAATTGGAGGAGGTGCATAACCAAGGTATGGGTTACAGGTGGGGACAGGTGACACTCAGAGTCTCCAGTTGTAAAAATAACTGCTTGAGAACAGACAGACTTGAACAGAAGGAAGAGCTCTGGATGGATTTGTTTGAGATGGGTTTTTTCATTCCTTTTTTCTAAAAGGATAGGGAAGGGAAGTTTTGCCTAAGTGTAGATGGGAGATTTTTTTTTTTCTTTTTAAAAAGAAGTCTTGATTTTAGGTCTCTGTTCAGAAAGTACTAGCGAGGAGAGGCCTTCAGTTTGCTTGTGGGAGTGAGTCATACTCAGGGCTGTGAAGTCTTTTCTAAGGTCTTATGTGCTGAAGTCATGCACAGCAATTTCTTGCACAACACTAGATTCTGTGTTTCTGCATCTGTTAACCTAACCAGTCCCCAGCCTGGTGTTTCCCAGGTTGTGTAAGTGTTTATGATTAGCCCACTAGCTATTTCCCTTTCAGTATCTCCATAACGTGGTGTTCACTGCACATTCAGTAGAATTTGCTCTTGTGGTCCCTTTATTTTGTAACCAAATAGATTAAGAAAAATGCACAGTATGAGCTGTTTTGCCAATCAGTTATTCAGACACTTTTTTCAAGCAGATGGAGTAAATACAGACTGAATAATTCTGGCTGCCCTCCTTTCTTTTCTTAACTCTGTCATACATTTTTGTTGAAAGGGAAAATGCTTTGGCTGCACGCTGAAGTGAAAAGCTACTTCACAACTTGTAAACTGAAATAAGAGCTGTATTGATCAATGAATTGGCTCCAAAAGGTAGCTTCAGTGCTATTTCTTCACTAAGATAATGAATGGTTTTTTCATGTCAGAACAGTGTATTCTTTTGAGAAATCCACACAGCTTGTTGATTTTCTTTTTAAAATGTTTTTCTCCCTCTTCTGCCAGAATGGAGTCATGTCTGGATTGATGCAAATGCTGCTTCTGAAGGTTTCTGCTCACATCACAGAACAGCTGGGAATGGCCCCAGGAGGAGAATTCAGGGAGGCTTTCAAAGAGGTGCAAACTTGAAATGGTTTTTCTAAGGTCAAATTACTAGCCTTTTGCTCCCAGAGTCAAACTAAATAAAACCATTTGTTAGGGAATAGAAAAGAGCACTCTGGCCATACTTGTGCTGAAGCCTATGAAGTAGTAAGAATTATCTTAGGCTTCAAAGTGTACTCAAAAGTACAGAGGTTTGTAGCCCTAAGTGTCATGAAAGCAGCTCCAAAAAGGCTTCAGATGGTAAGGGTTTTTCCTGATTATATTTGTGATGGAATTTGCTTTCATTTTGTTAATAATGTATTTATTTTGTTCTTGTTAAAGAATTATTTTCGAATTCTGGATATGGATCATGGTTCCACTGTTGGTGGTGTCAGGTTTTCAGGCTGTGAAAACCAACTCTAAAGCATTAATGATATCTAACACATTCATCTAGAAGATCCTTTGGGGAAGTGACATATCTGACTGGTCTATTAGTCCTTTTGTACTACTGCCAGCTGTGATACTAGGAAGTAAATGGTAACTGGACTTCTACTGTGTATCACAGCTACTCCTTTTTTGTCTGGGAATACTGAGACACTATTTTCATTGTAGGTATCCACCTTGCAGAATATATCTTGTTATTTTTATGTAAATTAGGTACTAGTAAGATGTGAGCTAACATAGCTGATAAAAAATCTGGAATAATTTGGTATTTTTATCCTTAATAAAAAGAAGACTGTTTCAAGGCTTATTTTCCTGAGTGTTCTGGACCAGAGTAAAACATTTTAAAGTTTCACATTCTAACTGGGAAAGAAAAAATACATTAGCTCTGTCCTGTTCTAAACATGTGCGTAAGAAAATTTTCTAGAAATTGTGCTGTGCTAACATCTGTCAGTTTAAGCTGCAGCAAAGTCTTACCTCACATTGTTGTATGGTATCTGGCGTCAGTTCATAGAATAGAATCTCAGAATGGTTTGGGTAGGATGGGACGTTAACGATCACCCAGTTGCAACTCACCCTGCCATGGGCAGGGACACCTTCCACTAGATCAGGTTGCTCAAAGCCCCATCCAGCCTGGCCTTGAACACTTCCCAGAGGGGGCAACCACAACTTCTCACCACGCTCACAGTAAGGAATTTCCTCCTAATACCTAACCTAAATCTACCCTCTTTCGGTTCTTGTTTCATAAGCTGCTTCTTGAATATACTTTACCATGACGAACTGTGACAACAGTTACTGATCCTGACAAATCCTAGGTAAAAGCAAAATGACAAGTTGTTTCACCTTAGACTTTATTCAGACCCAGATAGATACTGAGTCCCATCTGTTCACCTTTAGTCATAAGTAGGAGCTTTCTGCTTATGTAAAAGTAACATAAAGAAAGTGGCAATTCATGTTTAATACATACTGCATCTTATAGTTGATGTTTTCCTTTTAAGAAGTAGTATTTTTGAAATTATTTACTGCAAAGCCAGGATATTTTTGGTTGTTGAAGTACACTACTTGCTCTTTTTAAAGATACCTTGTATGAAACAATAAGATGTTCACTTAATAAAGATGTACTGTGCTGCAGTATGAAATGCTGATTAGTCATTTGTACTTCTCTTTCAGGCCAGTAAAGTACCTTTCTGTAAATTCCATCTTGGAGACCGACCCATCCCTGTTACATTTAAGAGAGCAATTGCTGCACTTTCTTTCTGGCAAAAAGTCAAGCTTGCCTGGGGCCTTTGCTTCTTATCTGATCCAATCAGGTATGAATAAGCATCTCATACAGCTGTCAGGGTGAATTGTTCAGTTCTTCAGGTTGACTTTAGTACGAGCTGAAAGTCCTCATACCCAGCTTGATGCACTGAAACTTGAAGTATTCTGAAATAATCTGTATTTTTGAAAAGAAAGCTGGCTTTCAGATCATGTTCCAGCTCTGTCTTTTGACACATTACTTCCAGGTGAAGTGAAAGATTTGGTGCTGGAGAATTTCTAGTGTACTTAAGAAAAAACTTTTTATTTGTGTTTGTATTTTTATGCTGAAAATAATTTTTTTTCCACTACTGTGTGTGAGTATTGTAAACAGAAATGAGTAGGGCCTCAATGTGCTATATACCTCAAGATTTCCAAAGGACTTAGGCCTGCTGTGCTGTCACATCTGGATCAGGGCAGCTTGAGAACTGAATCTTCTGTCAGAGCAGATTTTTGGAACAAGAGAAAGTGTTTAAAGTCAGCCATCAACATGAGATTTTACAGAAAATGGAGTAATAATTCAGCATCAAATTTGTGTCAGTCTTGATAGCTTTTCTATGACCTGTTGAAAGCTAACAATGCATTTCACCTTCTGGTTGTCCCTGTTGATGTTTGTAGTGTCTTTTTGATCTTGGAAACTAAAGAAAGCATGTTTGGCATCATTCTTCAGTAGACAGTGATGCCAAAGCAGGTGATTCTGTTTGCCACAAACTATGGCTGTACCACAGCCATGGGTGCAAACGGAAGGGTAAAAGCACCTATAAAAAATATTACAACTTTACATTATTACTTGTTACAGGCACTCCTGCAGGTTTTATTTGTTTATTTCCTGCCATTTCCTATTCTTCTGTTCAGGGAATTGATTTATAACTTTGACTTCCCTGCTGAAGACTTGTGATTGATGCTAGGAACCTGCAGAAAACTCTTTCCATCCCCTCTCTGTGCCTTATGGTGTGCTTTTTTAGTTCTTTAAATAGAGCCTCTCTGCATTTAGTGATCAGACCTGCTTCCTGTGTGTTGCCTCTTCTAAGCTTATTAACATACACAGAAAGTGGGGCACCTATTTCCTTTGAAGCCCTGCTGCTTTTGCTCAGTTGAGTTGTCAGCTTTCAAATTGGGAAGGGTGAAAATCCAGTTGCGCTGCCTAAAGGCAAGTGACCTCTCTTCTTCCCTTTTCCCTCACTGTAGAGGCATTATTAGGTATCCAGTTTTACAGGTTTAGGGAATTTGTTTTGGTTTTGAAGAGAAGAACTGGGGAAGAACAACTGTAGAGTGTGGGTTTATGTGAATAATGTGTATAATATCCAATTGCTTTTATTAATTGATTTATCTGTATTGGGCTTTAAAAGCGTAACAGATACTGAGAAAACTTACCTTTCTTCCAGTAAGGATGATGTGGAGAAATGCAAACAGAAGGATTTACTGGAGCAGATGATGGCAGAAATGATTGGAGAATTTCCTGATCTTCATCGAACGATTGTCTCGGAGAGAGATATTTACTTGACCTACATGCTGAAGCAAGCAGCAAAGCAGATAGAACTACCTCGAGCTTCAGAAAGTAATTGTTTTAAAGCAGATATCATAACCAGCAAGTTGTTCTTTGTGTACTAGTCTGAAGTTCAGTTCTCAGGAAATCTGGGATATTCTCTTCATGTGTCACATGTCACATAAGATTACAGTGTGTAAAAATTAAAAAGGGGTATTACTCTTCTATTGCAACCACCTATAGAAGTAAAAAAATTTCATAGAGCAGTAGATTCCAAATTATGATTCCTTTCTCATTTGCTGTTCAAACTGGAAAATACTAATTAGTCTGACAACTGTCTCAAAAGGCAGGTATCTGGTATTACATCACAGCCTAGACTGCCCTTACCTATCTCACTTTCATCTTAGTACCTCACCAAATTCATTGTCATCACTAGCTGCTCAGGAACACATGTTTTGCTTGACCATGTGTGACTGTGCATGTTTCGGCAAGAATAATGGCATTTCTCTAGCCTTTGCTATTTTGTTGCTGTACATGATCTTCATGCTCTTCTTATATATGTGTACTGAACCATGGGTTACCTCCTTACTTGTTGTCTTAATATACTGTTTGTAATTACTTCAGTGTAGACCTCTGTCACTGTCTTAAGATTTAAAAAATAGCAAGGGGATTGCACTTATGTTCTTGTATCTCCCTTGCCTAATATTATCTCAATGATGCCTTTGTTTGTCTAAACACACAGTATTCCTGGTAGCTCAGTTGATATGGCTGAAAGAGGCACAGATGGATTCAGTTACTTGGTCCAAAGAGCAGGCTGGAAATTTAGTTTTATTGTTGGTACTGTCTGTGTCATGAGCCACCAGAGGAATTGTTTAGTAATTTCACTGCTCTTTTTTTGTTTGTTTGTTTTTCCCCTCCCTTTAAATCTACCTTCTTAAAAGCTTTGTGTCAGGAACACTGGTGTAGTAAATGCCTGTGAAACCAGAAGGGATTTAAATGCATTATGAAGGACTTCAAACAAAAGATGGGACCATAAAAGACAAGAATGTGAGGAATTACCTGACTGACAGTCATGTGTATCTGTCTTAACTGTCTCTGGCATTGTCTCTTGTTAATTTTGTTTAGAAGCTGTGCATTTATATTATATACATATAACCTGTTCTATGCATTCATGTTTACAAGAAGTGGGGGGAAAAAAAGGGGCAAATTATATGCTTAGGATTCATAATAAAATACAAAACCCCACAATTCAAATGAGCGGAAATAAGACATCATCACCATTGTCCAAATCATTTGCTGTTGTAGGGACATAGTAGAGGGAAATTCCTGGATGCTATTTGCAGGACTCAAATTTTGGTCTGATATATTCCTAAACTAGGTCTGATTTGCTCCTAGCCTTTGTCTGACTATTTGCCTGGGTGAACTCTTCCAAAAAGATTGAAAATGAAACTTAAACATTTAGGTTTTTATTCTATCTTTACTTCACACAAAATATTCTGGGGGATAGAAGTTTCTTCCAGGACTAAGTTTCAGGCAGGGCTTTAAACTGGTATAATCTTTGAATCCTGCCCAAAAGCAGAAAGGCATGTACAGATCGAGGTCAGAGTGGATGTGATGTGCTGTGGACAGCCCTTTCTGCTGAGGTGCTGTGCTCTCTCTCTATTGTAGTTGCAGCTCTGATTTGCAGCAGCCATAGAATAGGCTGGGAAAAAGCAAGTCCAAAGAAACAATTTCAGAAATGAGTAAAATAGTTCTAGTGTTTTCAATAGAGTTTTGTTTCATTTCAAAGAGGCTGCTTTTCAATTATTTTTTTTTTTTTACTTATTCCTGTAAAAATCAAGGGTGGCTATTTAAAGCAAGACAGTGGAACTTACATTTTGTATATATGTGTAACTTTCCCCAGAGGAAAGCAGACTGATTACTATTACTTCGAAAGTTTTCTGTGAATTATTTTTGTGTTGTGGTCCCACTTTTTAACTGGGGGGAGGGGTAATACCAAAAGTTTCAGGAACAGTATCTTAACTTCTGCTGGGTGTTGTGGTGTTTGGATGGTAGATGGGAGGGTGATAGCTGGCATGTGTTGTAATGGTGACTGGCTAGCTGCTGGACACAAGTGGTTCAGATTTTGCTGATACTCGCTGAGGCCCAGTCTGTACAGTAAACATAAAAGAGGCAGGTGTGGTTTTGAGCAGTGTTCTCTGATTGTTCATTCTGCTTGTTAGCCCAGGTCTTGTCACAATTTGGATGTGTGCCAGCTGCCACTGTCCAAAGTGGTGGAGAAAGGTCTCCATCCAGGAGACAGCAAAGACCAGGGCTGTTCCTGATAAGTAGTACAGAAACATGACCCACCTTGGGAAGGAAAGAAATTAATTTAGCTTGCATCTGCTTAGCCTCTCACCCTGAGGCTGCGCTATGAGCCCTGGCCAGGTTTGTCTACTGGAACAAATGCTTCCTGAAAATCCAGACAACATGCTGATTATTTTTTTTTCAGACTTTCAACATAACAAGCAGTAGGTGAGATGAGTGTTAACTTCTGGTATGTAACAGTTTTAATATCTAGTAGTAAGAGTCCCTACTACTACTTGGAAAGATCAGTTTTGTTATCTCGCACTTCACCTATTTATTTATAGCTTGAAATTAGTTCTTTTACTGATATGTTCATTTCTCTCCATCTCTTTCTCAGCTGAACCTAGAGAATATATCCCAGCTGTTGTAGTTGGTGTTGTTGGGATGGGTCATGTACCTGGAATTGAAAAGAACTGGAATTCTGATTTAAACATCCAAGAAATAATGAGGTAACAGTCATCCTTTCCCATGTGTTGACATAACAGCTTCTCTTGCTAAAAGACAGCAGTAATTGGTTTGGTTGGAGTTTTTTTGGTTGGTTGTCACAGCTTGAAGAAGCATCACTGTCATTCCTGCCCTGTCAGTTCGCTGACTTGCTGTGCAGTGCTTGTAGATTGTGCTTACAGCAAAGGAAAAGAAAATATCAAAGGAAAAAAAGTTAAAAGTTGGATATCAAGGGAAGTAGAGATGAAAAGGTGCCCTTGTCTTGGGGGAGGGGGGCGGGGTGGGGGGGGG